ATTTAACCCACAGCCTACCCTGTCGCTAGCTATGCCTGAGATGCTGGCCTTTTTTCACTTCGGTTATGGCTCCTGAATCTAGCTCTGTTGTCAGCCCCCTCTATACCCCCTGCTTCCTGGGGAACTGACCAGGACTGCAGCTATGCTTTAGGTGTCTAACTACTAAGCAAGAGTTCCCATGCCCTGGTTTCCTAACACCCAGCCCAAGGGCAGCCCTCCCTTCCCTTTAGGGGTCTTGGTTGCTTTGGAAGAAGAGCTAGCGTTGGTGTGAGGGCAAAATGAGCCTTTCCAATCCCCAGGGGCAGAGGGCTGTGGCAAAGAGGGGCCCCATCAGACACTCAGGGGAGCTCCCTGTAGTCTGAAGGGAATGAGCATTTCCCTCCTCATCCCCACTTGGGCCTACCCCATTTTTGACAGGAAAAACAGGCCTAGTTCTCCCCAGCCCCTGCCATAGACTAAGGTTCCCCCAAGACAGGGCTGTGGTGACTCCACCAGGAAAGGGGTGAGGGAGAAGTTGGGGATGGGGGAGGGCTCAGGCCATTGCCATAACATCCCTGTAGAAAGAAACCATTACAGAGTTTGGGAGTAAAGTTCCCCCTCATGCCAGTGCCCCACTCTGACACTTGGCTCCGTCACAGGTTTTGCTGAATCAACTCTGGTCCAGTTCCACACAACACAATGCTGCCCCATGCAACTACTGAGCTTCTGTCCCTTCAAGCATCCAGAGACAACAGGGGCTACGCATCTGCTGCCTCTCACCTAGAAACACCCAGAGAAGGAGTCCCATTCCCTGACAACTGCCCTGCTGGAGCACAGGATCCACTGCAGAAGTCTTTCTGTTGTCATTCCCTGTCTCTTTTATGATATCTCAGAGCTGGGACAGAGGGCTCCCTTGTCACTGCTGCTGCAGGTACAATGCAACTTCAATTCCTAGGCCTTAGGTTTCTTCTTTCACCTTGCTACCTTTAGTTCCCCACCTGATCCTCAGTCCTCTCCCTCACTTGTGCTGGCCTTGTCCTCCTTACTGTGGCCTGACTTCCCCACTCTGAACCCATTAGTTCCCCAACCATTCTCATCCCTCTCCGCATAGGTCTAGAGAGGCATGATCCTAACTCTCACCTCTCCTTT